ATATATTGATGTAACTTGTAGTGCAAATGCTTTTTAGACCCAATTTAAATTATTTTTTGCAGTATAAATAAGACTCTTCTTAAAAAAAAAAAAAAACATAATGATGCCTTTTACATTTTAGGATGGGGTCACTTGATCATGAATGGTCATATGTGAGGGTCTGTGGCATCTAAAAGATTGAAAACCCCCACCAAGTTAAAGAATTTACAGTAGAAAAACAGAGCACATATAAGTCAGGGAGAGAAAAAGAGCAGTTAGTTCATTAGAATCAGACGCGGTGTCTGAAAGCATTCACTCATTCATTATGTGCATAGCGGTTGAGTGGACTAGATCACCATCAAATAAACCACTGAGTAAATTCAGACTCCGGTGTCAATAGCAAGCATCAGATCACTCTCTCACAAACAATTTCAACAAGAACATGATGCGCATCTGTCCTGTTTGGCTTTTTGAACTGTATGTCATGATTAATTTGTCATGATTATTGTAGTATTTGGTAACAAACAGAACAAAATCTCTTGCTTGGTATGAATATTTATTCTTTTTTAATTATTTTTTTTGGGGGGACAAATAATACAAAATGATTTCTCGCTGTTTTTGTTTTTAAAAATAAATATTTAACAATATAATATGAATATCTGAATTCACTAAAAATATACAATAAGCTACACAAATTAATGCATATTGTTGTAACCTAGGTGCAAAATCTGCCATTTCTCTTTTTCTTTTATATTAGGATTAGATCACATGTATTCGAGTTGAATTTGATTTTGAGAAATAACGACACTGGATGCACACTCAAATCAGAGAGAATAGTGAATATATATTTAACTCAATCAATTATTTAATAATCTAAATATAAAGCCATCACACAATTACACAAACTATCATTGAAAAGAATGGAAGAGGGTTTATAAGGTTGAACTTTTTGACAAAATGGTTTATAAATATCTTAATTATCTTTATAAAAGAAGCATTTTTAAATTAATCCTATTTTCATTTTTATGATAGCGAGGAAAGAAATTACAGCTTAGTTTAAAAATGACCAATGAACTATTTATTGCACATGTGAAATAGGCATGGGACGATTACCGGTTTCAAGGTTTACTGTGGTTTGGAAATGTCAAGGTTTTAAAATCACTAAAATGTTCTGCTATATCGTTCCTGCGGTATATGTAAATTTTTTTTTTAAATGTGTTCTAAAGAAATCTGTGTTTTTGAAACTAATGAAGACAGTAGAAGTCAATGATTTTTTTTTTATTATTATTATTTAGCCGGACATGTTTACAATTCTAAAATATTAGAGTTTTCTAAAATATAATGAGGGGAAACTTGTTTTTTATCCAGACATTAAAAAAAAGAATATATTTTTGAGCATTAATCACAATTCCGTTACACTGTGAAACTAATATAATATTTTTATCCAGGGCTATCATACCATCAGAAACTTATTCAGTTCCATGCCTAGTGTGCAAATAGTTAGTCCATCATTTATTAAATGTTAACTGAACATTAATCAACATTATTAAGCAGTTTATGAGTACAGTAACAAACGCTGCCTTCTTCGCTTATATAATGTGCTACACAACTATATTTTCACGCTTTGTTAAGGATTAATTTTCACTACTAAATTAAACATTGCATTATTATTAATATATAATGAATAGTAGTTGGTAGTTTTTAAGATCATTCAGAAAGAGTAATCCATTAAAAACGAATCTAACCAGATCTATCAACCTATGTAAGAAGCTGGCAGTCATACAGCAAATCAACCAGCATCTACTATCATAACTTTCTCAGATTATATATATTCAGTATATATATATATATATATATATATATATATATATATATATATATATATATATATATATTCACAGAAATAATACCCTACCCTAATATTGCCCTACATCCCCGTCTGAAGCACAGGCTAACAGTTTCTTTGATATTCCTCTCTGTTTTGCGGGCACAACTGGCTTGACGTCTGACCCGCGCAGACAATGAATCGGGCCTCTTAAAGGTCACTGGATTTTCTAGATGTACTTCAAACAGTGACATCCACCCACAGTCTGCCTCTGATCCCCCCCCCTCCCCTCGCTCCATCACTACTCATTGGTTTCCTGCTCTATTGGCCTTTAATGGCCTTTAGTGCTGGACAGGTCAGTCGTGATGCAGCTTCTGGGTGGTGCAGGTGCTCTATCGCATGGCTGAATGGGAGCCTACAAGGGCAGGGATTTGTACAGCAAACAGGCAAATAGGCAGTGTAAACATTGCATTAGTTCATGTGTGGACAGCAGGATGGAACAGGTGTTCACAGAGCTTGAAAATAAGCTCTAATGTGATGTTTGTATTATTGAGATGATGATGATGATAATATGTTTTTTATTGAAAGAAAATGAAGGCCTATTTTTAAAAATCATTAAGTTTTTTCTTTATGATTTCTGTGAAAATAAACCACTTTTCATCACATCAATCAATGGATATGCCAATTGTTCTTAAGGTAATGTCAAAATAAAGAAAAAAGTTTGAGGTCAGGAAGACGTTTTGCTAACACTTTACGATGAAGCCAAGAAAACAAGATAACTGGACATCGATAAAGTAAACGATTGTTCCATATTTGACGTTTATATACAGGGAGGTCACATATTTTGATCTGTTGGTCAGAGTTCAGAGTTCACCATGCTTGAACTTTGCACCACATCGACATGTGACACCTGTCACACAAGATTGCGTTTCCGGTCTGCCGCATTTGCTTGCATATGAATGGAAGTCTGCGCGGCGAAAAAATAGCAGTGTGACCACGGCTTAAGGTCTAGTAGTTACCAAAAGTCAATGAAATAATAATGAGCAATGCATCTGCTACAGTTTTTATTAATATTTGTTGATGTCTGTTAATAAACATGCAGCAGCTCAACTGTTCATATTAGCTTAGTCCCATTAAATAAATGTGTATTATGACTAATAATTGTTAATGCTAAAATCAAGGTGAACTAAAATGAATGCATGATTTAATTGTATAGGTTACACTTTACAATAAGGTTTCATTAGTTAATATTGGTTAATACATTTACAAACATGAAAGGATAACAAACTATACTTGTACAGAATTACTTAATCATAGTTCAACATTTACTAATGCATTATTGAAATCCAAAGTGATGTTTGTTAACATCAGTTAATCCTCACCGTGACTCAATATGAACCACCAATGAACTATATATTCATAAATGAATGCTTACAAAGCTGAATAAATATTGTAATAAACAATGTTTTTTTTTCATGATAGTAACTACATTACTAACACTAAAAAGTGTTACAGAAGTACGTTTAAGTAGTAAGTTAAGTTAGAGTACAAAATATATTAAAATGGAAAACTATTTTAAATTGTAATACCATTTAATACTGTTTTTATTTCTTTATTAATGATTTATGATAAGTTTTGATGAGCATAAAAGTTATTTCCCTAAATCAAATCAATCTATTCATCCGTCCATCTACCCACTGATTTATCTGCTTCCTAACTATATCTTGTATGCTTTAATCAAAGAATAAAAAGAAAAACGTATTTCACATTATGATAATGCTAGCAGAAAGGGGCAAATTAGCTGATTTGGGCATGTATAATGCAAATAACTAAGGCTGCATTTACACTGCATGGTTTAAGTGACTCAATTCTGATTTACTCAAATCAGATTTAGGCCTTCATATGTGGAAATTTATCCAGTTTGAATCATATCTGTGCCCGTGTGTCTGCAGTGTAAGCAGGTAAATCGGATTTTCACCTGTCAATGAAGTCAATGAAAGACAGAGAGAGCCACGTAGCCAATATAAACTAATATAAACCTGCTGCACATAAATCACGCCATGAGCATTATGATGCCTACATGTTTAAAAAGGCCTAAATTTAAAGAAGATGGTAAAATGAGAACTTTTCGGCCAAAAAAAAAAAAAAGAAAAGTAAAACAATATGTCAAAAAGAATAAAAAAAAAAAAAAAATTAAATACAGGAATGGAGAAACGAGCGCTTTTTATAATCAGCTGTCAGTTTGCGCCCGCAATTTTATTTTTGGGGGTCATTGCGCCTTTGCCGTTGATGTGTAAATGCAGGCTATCGGATACAGGTCCCTTTTAAAAGATGATGTAAGCTGGTCATAAAAAATAATAATTAATTAATTAATAAACAAATATATATATATATATATATATATATATATATATATATATATATATATATATATATATATAATACAGCCACAAAATCGGAATTGACCATGAAGAACTGCAGTGTATATGCAGCCTAACAAAAATATAAAAACGTACTTAACTATTAGTGAATGAGACCCAATGTCTTAACGCAAAACTTTTATTCCTCGAACTGGCCAAATTTCCTTCAACTAGAACAGGGGTGCCCAAACTCAGTCCAGAAGGGCCGGAGTTCAGCATATTTCAGTTCCAACCCCAAATAAACACACCTGAACCAGCTAATCAAGCTTTTTCTAGGTATACTAAAACTTCCGAGCAAGTGTGTTGAAGGAAGATGCAGGACATCGGCCCTCCAGGAGCGAGTTTGGACACTCCTGAACTCTTCTGATTTTAGGCTTTTATTTAACATAATTACCCCATTTTCATGAGATTTACCACCAACATGAATCTGACTGACAAGTGGTGTGTGTATTGTACAGTTGCTAATAAGTGATTTAAGCATAAAGTGCAGCCCAGAAAAATCCACTCAAGGCAGATGAAGAGCACAGTCTTCATCAGAATTTGCTGCTGGAGAAACAGGCTATCATCATCATCATCATCATCATCATCATCATCATCATTATCTCACATGTCAAAGCTCATTCTAGCTCCTGCATGCTGCTGTTTTCTGCTTCAGTATGACAGTGATGAGGGTCATGTGAGGTGGTGAAGATCTAGAGCAACATCCAGGTTGGATGTGAGAAGCCTCCTGAAAACACACCTGACTTGTCTCCTATAACAAAAGCACAAACACTTACCATTCTGTAGGGTCTGCTTGCCTCCAGACAGCACTCCTAGAGGTAGCGTTCCGGTTGGGGTGAGCCCTTTGAGGGTCAGTACACTCTCACTTTCTTCCCTGAAGCACAACACACATACATTCATATATACCACACACACACATACACATACATACAAACAGACATGCATACATACCATATTAGTGTTGTGTTTATAGAGCTAGCGGTCAAAATTGGTGCATTTGGGGGAATTCCGGCATCATTACTACTATCTCCAGTGAGTACATGGACACCAATACTTTATAAATATATATTTAATTTCATCAAGACAACACTCTGATGAAGATTACAATGTAAAAAGCAATTTTTGATTACCTTGATCTGACTAAAGTCATAATTGAACTAAACAGAAATAGAATTAAGAGATGTGGAGTATGCCGATTTTAGTCGCATTATTGAAGTGCAGTAAAGACATGTAAACACTGCAATCAAACTATTACTGTCATGTAGAACTTTTCGCAGAGTTCCACGGCTGTTTGACATAATTCTTTGCACCTACTGAGTCAGTAATGTACCACAGACACACATATCGTGAAATGTGGAGTTTACTTTTTTTCCATTTGACGTGCTGTATCAAATTCTACTACAACATCAGTCCTTACTTCATACTCGCATCCAATATGTCAGTTTGTCACGGGGGCATGAATGAAATGTTCCTGAATGAAAGTGAAACTGCTGAACTGCAGTTAAAGTCGACCAGATAACAATGAAATACCCAAAATTACATGAAACTCCAGAGGAAACAAGGATAGCATGGTAACGCAATGACTTTAATCGATCTATGCACTCATGTAAACACCTTAATCACATTTCCTCGTTCAGGTCAAGGCAAATCATTTGATTATTGATGTCCAAGTAAACATGGTCAATGTCAAATTATTCTTCAGAAATCATAATATGCTGATTGGGTGTTCTTTTATGCTCAATTATTACTGGTGCTTTATTTACATAGTCATTATGATGACTTTAATAATTATCAAAGTTGAGACTTCTTTTGTGGAAACTAAAACGTTTCTATTTTTAAAGATTCTTTAATGAAAATAAACTCCAAAATAACAGCTTTGACCTAAATCCTTTCGTTTTTATTATACATGCCTAGTTTCACTCTTGAACAGTTAATGTTGTCTTCAATTTATAAAGTACATGCATTTACTTATTTTTTTAAGATTCATTCAACATTTTACATTGTAATTTTATTTCACAAATACAGTGCTCAGCATATACAAGTACACCCCTCACAAATCTGTCTTTTAAATTCATATTTTTAATAGGAAGCTATACAATATTATATTTGTGCATATATATTAGATTAGTCAGTGCTGAAGCCAGATCTGGAGTTTATTTAACAAAATAACTGATGATAACCATCCAAAAAAATGTATATTAACTAAAATGTATATGTTATAGAAAAATATTAAATACAAACAAAAACAAGAGGAAAAATCAAGAGAAACAAAATTGGAAAAAAAATTGCTAAAATTTTGCAGGTTGTATTTTTTTTATATATTTTACTTAAATTTCATTGTATTATCTTTCAATTTCTAAATATGTTTGGTGACAAAATATTATGTTAATAAATCTGTGTAGTAAATTTGTTTTCTTTAAATGAACCAAAATACATTGGCTAAATTCACTGAGAATTGGATAAAAATTTTCATTTTCAAAATGGATTGTACTCAATTATGCTAAGCACTGTATATGCAGCCTTGGTGAGCAGAATATGCTTTAAAAATGACCAGATCCTAAAAGTTTGATTAGTAGTGTAAACGACTTAGTCAATTAGCACAAGGTGAGGAAGAACGAGAAAATATATGATAATTGTGAAACTGTTGCCAGCCTAATGTGAATATTGTTCTAAAAAGCAAAGACAAAAGACTTGAAAATGTCCTCTGTTCCCCCATTATCTATGGCATTGTTCGTCTGCAATAATGTCTAATATAATTAGGCTGCTATTCCGCATGATGACTCACTGACACCATCTCATTAATCCTAACTGAGAAAACTGTGTGAGTGTGTGGCATAAAACAAAACTTCATTGTATGAGGAAGTGTATCCTGTTCTATATACAGGATATGTTTTTTTTTTTTTTTTTTTGATAACTGTAATTATCCCCCAGGCATCATGCTGAATATTTAATTAAATGCACATAATTGTGTGCAGACTGACCTGAGCACAGAAAAGACTCTAGCCATCTTCCCAATGGCACGGATCTTATTTCTGATCACCTCCTTACGAACAGCAGGAGCCCCACCTGCGGAAACACAAATCCAGCATCAAAACACCACCACCTCAAAAGAACTTTGACCCACAAACAAGATAGAAAAGGGGAAACCAGTGTCTAGATGCTAAAAATAAGACTGCATGATTTCTGTTATTTGTAACAACGAGCAGGTATATCCGAATTTAAATAAGATATTCCAACTTTCAATATGTAGTTTATTATTTAACCCTTTCACATGCAAGTTTCAATACTCTTGCTAAGCCCCCCTTCTGTTCGCTTTTTTAATATGACTGCTAATTAGAACACATCGCTTTAAAGTTTCCATGGTGACAAGTTCATCATGTGGCACACCACAGCCCTGATGATTTATGTATGTGTCATGTTTTGTTTTGTCCCAATTCCCAACATTCTAATTATGTTATGAAATATTTTATATTCTGATCCGCAAATATGTGTAAGAACATACATTTTGTCATTTAAACAGCCTGATAATGATCATATTTTAATCTATGACATTTAAGTGTATACTGCATCATTGTGTCTATGTTAGTCTACCCAAACTTTTTTGTATGAAGTGCCAAAAACCAATCATTATTGACAGCCTTGGGCTGAAGGTAAATATACCAAACTACAGTATATTACATTAAAGTTGCCATGGCTTTGTAATTGGCAAGTTTTTTTATTATAATTCAAAATAAATAGAAAACCTTACTTTAAATGGTATTAACTAATGCAGTATTAGGGCTGTGCGGTTTGGGGAAAATATCTAAAATTGCAAATTTTGATTTGATTTTGACAAATACTGCGATTTTGATTTGATTTGCGATTTAATTTTGTAGTCAAGCTGCATCTCAATAATCTGTAGCTTCTTACTGCTTTAAGATTAGTTTAAAAACTAACAACTAACTTACTTAAACGTTTATTCAAATTTGTTTTTAAATATTCAGAAAGGAAACACTAACTTTTCTCTAGAGAAAACGGTAAACAAATAAAATGACCTTACCTTTCTCTAAACTAACTGAACTCAAATTAGGAAGATAGTGTAGCTTATTATACAAACAAAAAATAGTAATTATAAAGATACAGAACACTCAGCAAATGTTGCTCTGAAGTTGTACTTTACCCTACAGTTGTCTGCTTGCTATACTAATTGCGATTTAGTTTCAGTTTCATAGCAGGGCACTCCTCATATGGCCATCTGTGGTGCTTTTTTAGGTGCTGTTTGTTGTATTTCCTCCTGCTGTGGCATCAATTCTTACAAATATCCTGTTTTTGTTCATTGTCTGTGACTTTGAAATCAAAATATTCCCATATTACCGATGTCCTATTTTTCTTTGATATTAATTTGTCTATTAATGCTTCAGAAGCAGCAAATGTCATCATCCCGCACTCGTCCATGCTTTCCTGTTAGTTTGTTTTATTGTGAGCCTTCCGCATAGTTCGGTTGTGCGTTTCTGATTGGGCAGAATGAAAGTGTGCTCACTCAGTTGGCTAGTAAGACTGTCAGAAGGCAATTTACGGCATTTGCTCTGGGAGGGGGAAATTAAATACAGATATATTTCATGTCGCAGCCTCTTGTGATTAGCTAATCGCAACGTTTCAAATCACGACTGCGATTAGATTCTGATTAATCACACAGCCCTATGCAGTATAACTTCTTAAACAACTCATTGCATTAAAAACATAATCACATTTAGAACATTGATAAGTTCAATGCTGAATATGTTAGTCAAGCAGGTTTATCAGTATGTGCAGTATGACAGTATGTACATTTCAACAAAATCTGATTCATTTACACCATTTCACTGAAACATTCTTTTGGTTAGCTTCTAACAATAAAACAAACAGACAAATAAATAATTTGAATTGACACTCTTGAAACCATCCCAACATTCTCCCTTTCTTCTCAGATGAGATGGCGGGCCAAATTAAAGGTTACCAAATTTAAGGTTTTGGGCATCTATAGTCTATATCATAGAAAATATCACTTTATTTGTGCTAAATTTTCTTGTTAAAACATTTATTTATGCATTATGTACTATTATTATTATTAATGATAATAATAGCTTTTTTGGCATAAAATTTATAGTGTAGTTTGATATAAAATTTAATTACTCATTCCAAACACTGAGACATTGGGTTGTCACATATTTGTTCATTTATTTACTAGATAACTGTATTACTCAAAAAAGTTTGGATTGATTCAACAGAGCAAACAAAAGTGAACCTATGTTGTTTTGCAGTGCATGCCATAATCTAACTGTACTATTAGCCTTCAGTGGCCTAGGGAGTATTTGCAGAATAGCGTCACGCCTTTGCTCTAGTTACTTAAGCAAATCCATTTCCGGTTCACTAATGACACAAGGTGACATTACAATCCTACATAAGTATAAGTATGCGTGTCTATGCAAACCAGAAAATGTTCCTACAAACTGTGATAATATTTCACAGCTTATACATAGGAGTTCTACTCTCTACAACAGGCTGCCTAAGCAGGAAGCATTGTGGGAAGGCCTAAGCAGGCATCAGACCTCCGGGGAGAGCAACTCAGACAGCATGAATGACAGTTGGACACTTTTGAAGACCTGCTGTCTACATGAATGATGACCAGACAGACAGACGCTCACACACAAGCACATGCTCACACATGCTCAAGCACATTCAAGCTGTTCTGCATTAAATTATGTCACCAAATGTGAAGCAAGAGGAAATCAGCACATAAGGCAGTTGTCAGCTCACCAAACTTTAATGAAGTCTTTATTGTATATTATGTGTTCATTTAAATTGAATTTTTAAACTGATTAAATGTATCTGTGCCAAATCCACAAATTAATCCAGTACCTTCAAACTGTTATCGATTACCTTTTGACTGTTAAACTGCCCCTATTATGGATTTAAATTTACTTTCATGCCGCGTGTAACACAGCTCTGAGTGAATGAAATCATCCAGCTAAGTGTTAAAGTTAGAAAGTGCACCATGTATAAAGTTTTATTCTCTCTTCAACAAAAAGAGCCAATTCAGAGTCCTTTACAGTCAATATTCAAAAGGACCTTTAGCTTTTTCTGTCATGACAACGAAGAAAAAATTGCCCAGCCACATGTTGCGTGCAGACCCAGGAAAACCTGAAACCCCTATCCCTGAAACACTATAGTGGATTCCGTGGGATCAGATTGCATCATGTAGTGAAACTGCTGTGCTCTGCACCTAGAGCTTCTTTAATTACTTCAACCTAGAAGTGTGACAAAATGGTTGCCACCCTGGTCTCTGCAGCACACAAAATATGCATTTAGCTGTATGTGTGTTAAGTCAGCTTCTCACAACTTAAAAATCTAAAACAGCTTTCATGCCAGACATGGAAAACTCTGCGCTATGAAACCCATTCATTTCAAAGGCCCAACACAAGCTTGCGCAGAAATGTATTAATTACCACTGACAGTTTATCGTGGTTATTAATTGGAGTTATGATGATGAATAGTGCAATATGCTGGTGTACAATCTGCAGTAGTGTTGTCATGGTACTGAATTTTGAAGATCTGCTTGTCTGTATATTCACCTGTACCACGTCTTTGATCTTGTGGGGGAAACCGGAGCACCCAGAGGAAACTTAGTGAACATGCAAACTCCACACAGAAATGCCAACTGACCCAACTGAGGCTTGAACCAGCGACCTTCTTGCTGTGAGGCGATCGTGCTACGTACTGCGCCACCGTGACGCCCAAAATGCGTTTACCTTTACCTAATTATCCAAACTACTCCCATATGATTTGCTTACTGATTAAATTTTCCAAACACCTCCTTTAAGTGAGGAGGTAATATGCAGTGATTGGTCCAATGACCCAGATCAGATTGCATCGTGTAGTGAAGCTGCTGTGCTCTGCACTGTGAGCTTCTTTTCTTAAACCACAACCTGAAATTCTGAAAAAAATAGTTGCCACCTTGGTCTCTGCAGCACACAAAATAAGCATTTAGCTGTATGTGTGTTGAGTTGGCTTCTCACAACTTAAAAAACTAAAGCGGCTTTCATGCCAGACACGGAAAACTCTGCGCAATGAAACCCATTCATTTCAATGGCTTGAGCCACACCCATCAAAAGCTAATGCAGATATGCATCAATTACCACTGACAGTTTATCATAGTTATTACTTGGAGTTATGATGAAGAATAGAGCAATATGCTGGTGTATAATCTGCAGTACTATTATCACGATACCGAATTTCGAAGATCGGCTGATCTGTTTATGTGCTGATATACGAGTGATTCATTGATGAATCGACTGATCTTCATGACAATAAAACACCCCAGTGTCCCTGTCATTCATGTTTGCACTCGATAAACAGTGGTAAAGAGCAGTAAACCGATGACCTTTATATCCAATCACAGTTCTTTCTGTTGAGCAGGGAACACAATATCAAATTGCTGATTTGAAATTCCAGTACTGATTGGAGTATCGTGACAACACTAATCTGCAGTGCTTTTTCAATACACTCCTGCATTGGGCTCTTATGTAGACCACAGCTTCTAGTTTCAACCACAGCTTTCAACATTTGATAAGCTATACTCCAGTAATGGTGACGTGTGTTCCGCTTCAGACACACTGCATGCAGTAGACCAAATTACAACAGACTGGGTCATTGGACCAATCACTGCATATTAGCATCATGCAAAGGAGGTGTTCGGAAAAATTAACCAGTAAACAAGACATATGGGATTAGTTAGGATAATCAGGTAGAGGTAAATGCATATTGGGGGTCACGGTGGCGCAGTGGATAGCACGATCGCCTCACAGCAAGGTTTGAGCCTTGGCTAGGTTGTTTGGCATTTCTGTGTGGAGTTGCATGTTCTCCCCGTGTTCGTGTAGCTTTCCTCTGGGAGCTCCGGTTTAGACATGTAGTATCAGTGAATTCAGAAGGCTAAACTGTCCATAGTGTAAGTTTGTGAATAAGTGTGCATGGATGTTTTCCAGTGATGAGTTGCAGCTGGAAGGGCATTCGTTGCGTAAAACATATGCTGGATAAGTTTGTGGTTCATTCTGCTGTGGCGACCCCTGATAAATAAAGAGACTAAGCCAAAAAGAAAACAAATGAATGAATGAATGAATAAATGCATATTAAAAGACAATGAATGTGTTTTTTGATCTTGCATGCATACAAGCCTGTTGTTGGGGACTCACAAAACCAAAATAAGAGCCTTTTATAATACATAATAGATGCACTTTAATGTTGCTCAAATGTGGCATTCATGCATTACACAACAACTGCATAAAATACCGTAAGTAGCCTACTACTGAACAATAAAGTATATAAACTATATTAAATGTGAATATTCTACCTAATTTTATTTATTTTTTTTATTGATTGCTCTCGTATCAATAAAGATCTTAAACACGGATTACAGTGAGTTATTTGAATTGTGGAGGGGTATTATAGCATCTTACATTGAATTAGTTGGGCATAAATTTCCACCCCTGTCTTGCATATCAACAGATAAAAAGTGTAACTTCAAGACAATGTTAATTTCTTTGGATAAACGCATTTGCAGAGTGCATAAACAAGAAAACCTCCTCACCTTCGCACAAGTCATCTCCCTCTGACATGAGTTCATCATCAGAACAGATATTCAGGACATTCACCAACATCTCAGTCACTGTAGACAAAGAGCATTCTTGGAAAATACATCCAGTAAATCCATTTGCTTCTTTTTAAAATACGAACTCAACTTCTACGTTATGAAGCTGTATGAAACAATGTACACAAAGACTTTAAAAATTAAACTGAAAAACTTAGGAAGTCTCAGATGATTTTATAAATGATGCCCTTGAACGTGCTGGCACACATTTTATGACGTTAATATGACGTTTCAGGGCTCTTTCTCTCTGCATTCTTCCCACTGAGAGGACACAGTCAGCTACCAAAGACAAGCCACCAACAAGGTCATTCTAGCCTCTCTTCCAAATGCTCTGTCAAATAGATTCACAGTCTGGACACTTACCTTTCTCGCCCACAAACGGTAATGACCATGTAAACACATCCATGAAGTTGGGCAACCAGTACGGGTGAGGAGAGCAGTTGAACTGTCTAATGTTCATGACGTTGTTTTCATATTTTAACACAGCCGCTGAGAAGGAAAAAACAAAGACAAGCTATTATGTACGTTCATGAATGTTCTCAGTCAAAAGAAAAAGAAAACAAAAGAAAATCAAGCAACTTGATAGGGTGCCATGCAGGTTTACAAACAGTCATCTGATACTTTGTAGCTGTAGATGTCTAGACAAATTAGACTCAATATGGCAGCTATTACAGTTTGTTGTAGGGCATATTTTATCTTCGTATGATTGGTGATTTATTTTATTCTCCAGCGTTTCAAATTAGCACTCAAACAATAAAAATAAAACCAGAAGCTAATCATAAATTATTAACACTCTTTAATGGGGAAAAAAACTGAGTGGTACTCAGTGGTTTCCCAAGTGTTATTAAAGGGTTTTGTTATTTCCTGTTTTGTTTTGTTTTTAGATTGGTGTTGATGACAGAATTATAAAATGTGACACGGCAAATAAACTGATCTTTTTGTTGGTTTGTTTTGCATGACACAATGTAACTTGGTGTAAAAAAGAAGAAAAAAAGAAATGATTTTAAAACTTTACTAAAATTAGTTAATGTCTATTTAAAAAGTTAATGTTACAAGATTTATGTGTTAATTACATTTAATGTTAATGTTAATATATGTTTAGTGTCAGTTTATTGTCAGTTACAAGAAATTTTTTTTTAAAAAGCTAGCATACCTTTGTTGTTATAGACATCTAGGTAATTTGGTGCTGAGAAAATAGTAATTAATGAAGGGAAGCCTGTTGTCTGACTTTTTCTGTACATCCTGTACCTGTAACGGAAACACACACAAAACGCTTTAGCTGTAGATTAGCTCAGTGTGTCAAAAAGGCATCTGGCAAGAATCAATAGAGGAAATGCTCTCCATTATGGTCAGATAATGGGTTCTTTTCAAAGTCACTATACTGATCAGACCATCTACAGTTTCAGTTGACACCCATTTCTTCAAAAAGAATGTTGGTAAACAGGCAATCGATTTACAGCCATTAACATCCATATTAAGAAAAAAAATGTATATGATATAGGGCTGCACAATATTGGAAAAAAATGACATTGTAATATTTTGTATCTACGATACACATTGTAATATGGAGTACAATTTCTCCAGATTACTCAAATGGCTCTAACTGGCAAAAATGTTTTTAGAGTAATTGGAATCATTTTGTAATAAAAAGCATATGGAGAAACAATAATAAACCAATAACAAACATTGATATATACAGCAGAGCAAAGAAACAAATAAAAAAACAGTGCAAACATCAAAAGTCCAAGGCATTCAAAAAATTTGGAAAAAAAATATCTATTAAAAAACCTTTATTGACATGGCTATTCCCCAAAAATATGCCTATGTGTTCTGGTAAACACTTGCCTTCATCGGGTGCCTTGGGCTTACTTTTGCTGGTTATTCTGATGAATTC